AACATCTTTATACCATTTAAAATGTGAGAGAGTTGGACATCGTAAATTTGACAACAAATCTTCAGATCTAGCGGATAAGAGGGACGTGCTACCTACAAAGTGAAGTGAGATGGTATAAATTAGTGTATTAACTGCATCTCCCTCATCAATTATATTTTCTTGGACCTGTCTAGGTCCTACTTCATTTTTTATAAGGCATTGTTTAGTGGCATTTAAGATTTGATTTTTTGTAGTTTCATCCATATGAAAATCCCACCAACCTCTAAGTAATCCTGTAAAACCGCATATGATAGCTTTGGCAATTTCATGATATTTATTTTCACTTGCTTTACCAGCGGTGATATACATAGTTATATGTTTCATAAGGTCAAGAATCTGATTTTCTGAGCCATCTATATTCCAATTTACAATCGACCTTCCTGAATAGGATATAGAACTTGCAATAAAGTCTTCTTCTATTGAAGATCTACAGGCGTAGGTCTAGGATAATACATCCTAGTTGGGGCTACAAGCCTAGTTTTTCTCCCATAATCTATGTGATTGATATCTAGGCTTTCGATTTTAAAAAGCCTTTTCTAGTTCAGATATTCCTTGGTTTGTAAAACTTCGATATTCTTAGAGAACTTGCAATTCACCAACCATTTTTCCCTTATCATTAATGTTTAATTTTGCATGTCTTTGACTAGTTCATCCACTAATTCTCTATTTTCATCTTTCCTCTTGATTCCTTGTAGGTTGAATTTTCCTGCTTCTGTACTTGGTGGTGGCTTGAATAATACTGCATCTTTATCCTTTTCTTCCCTTTTTTCTAGTTATAGAGGTTTAAGGTTGTTTACCACATTTTTAATTCTAGTTGTTTGCTTTCCTATTGTTTGTAGAAAAAAATTTGTATAATTATTTTGTTCTATAATATGTGGTATTCTTTCAAGTTTGGTCATTTGATTACCAGATTCTTTAGGCCCTAGCTTAAAAGGTGAAGCTTTTATTTCATACTTTTCTCCTTTTAGTTATAAAGTTGATTCAAGGGGGTGAATAGACTCCATTGTTTCACCTTTGATTGTATGAAAGGTTTGGAAGGAATTCTGAGCCACATTTAATTCCGGAAGTTTGATGTTTTCTTTTTTAAGAATGTATTTAAGTCATTTGAAGAATTTAACATTTCTTTCATGATTTATCATAAACTTATTAAATTTTATATGAAAAGCATTTCTTAATTCTTCTTTAAATTCTCAAAAAAATCATTCTCTTATTTGCTTGTTTTCTTCTGAGAGAAATTTGTTTTGAATCCATTCTTTATCAATAGTAAATTTATCAGTTTGTTGGATTGTGAGAATTTCAAAATCAAATTCAGACAGAGTTGGCTCTTTTAATTCAGTTTGGGAAGAACTGGGAGTATCAACCTTATATATTGGGTGTTGGACTTGTTTTGAAGCTTTTCTACGTCCTTCAATAATTATTTTCTCATTGTGGGCTTTTTCGTAATCAGTTTGAGGAATAGAGGAAGTTGAAGTTCTAGGCAAGTTTCTAGGCATTGTGCTTGAAATACTTAGCCTAATTCTCCTAGAAGATGGGAATCGTATTTCTATTTCTCCATCCGGATATTCAATTATTTGTTCAGGTTCTCTATTCTTAGGAATTTTGGTCTGAGTTTTTGATTGGAGTGGCCATTTTTCTGGTAATTTAACACGTTTCTAAGATACAGACTTAGGTATGACCAAATTAGATTTACCCATATTGGTTTGAAAGAAGATAGTTTGTCCATTAGTATCCATTTGCCTAGCATTAAGACACAGGGTGTTCATCACTTTATAGTAGATCCTATAAACAAAAACTAACTTTTGAGATCCAGGATCCATATCAAAACTTTGAGTTTTAAGGTTAAGTGTCAAAACTTTTAACAAGTTAGGATCTGATAAGACCATCGAGAAATTAGGAAAGCAGATGAAGTATTTATGCCCATTACATAGAGTACACTCGACGATCCCTAACAAATAATCAGTAAATCTTCTATGCCTGTTATCTCTTAAGCAAAGTAAAACATAGTTGTTTAACCTTGTCATTATTAATGGTTTAACAGCTATTTGGACAAGACCAATATGTAGATAGTTGAAATCTTTATTTTTATATTCTTCAACAATCCTAGATGATAAGAGTTGGAAACTATCTTGGGTTTCTATAATAGAGATAGTTTTTTCAATAGTTTTAATTGAAAAACTACTTCTAAAGTCAAAAGTCCCTTTTTTATAAACATTTGTTGTCGGAACTGTCAGGATGTTCCAATTTTGGATTTGTTTTTAAATATTATCGATAATCACTCTTTCTCTATTATCAATATGGAGTGTATTACTACTAGAAGTGGTTCTATTCGATAATGTCCTGAAAAAATTTACGATTTTAATTTTTGCCTTTAATCTGAGTCAACTGGAAACATTCCCTACACCTTTCTGCTCTTCCGACAATGACGATGATCTTTGAGTGACAGCAACTTTAGATTTTCTGACAAAAAATTAAATGTGCAAGAATGTTCAGTTCACCACTGAATATAACTTGGCTCTGATAATAATAGCAAAATAGCGGGAAAACCGAGATATAAATAACAATAAAAGAACAACAAATAGAAATAAGCAAAACGAATAAGCAAATATGCAAAGAAGATGAACTAGAGCAAAAGGAACACATAGAACGAAACAGAAGTAGAATATGAACATGAGTAATTAAAGAAAACTTACATGATAGAATTATCCTAACCGAGTGGTATTCAATAGGTCCTCTCCTAATCTTCAATCAATTGAACCACTATGACAGAATTATCCCACCAGGTCGTCCTAATCTTCAATCAACTGAACCACTCTAATATTTAATATATCTGATCTTACAAGTACGCGACCACTCAAACTAATCTTACAAGCACACAAACACTCAAAATGATCTTAAGCACACGAACACTCAAAATGATCTTACAAGCACACGATCACTCAAACTAAAACAAACACCCGATGCTTTGTCCTTCAGCCTTCCCTTCTTATATAAAAGAAGAAGGCAGACTTCAAAGTATTTTAAAATCCGCACCGACATCATTTCAAAAAGCAAGATTCTTTTAGTAAAGCAAAGACAAGTAATATTCTCTACAGTGAAAGTTTTGTCGATGGCAATAATGCTATTTCTTTTACTGTAGCTTTAGTGTCCTGAGTGGATTTGGAGTCGTACCATCCCTATCTTTTTAATTCATTATTTCTGTACAGCCATCACCATTAGGTGGACTGTAATCTTCTATCTTTTCTTCTTCTTTCGTAGACATCTTATCAACATCTTTTTCCAAGGCTAGTATGCAGCTTTCTTTTAAACTCGGCTTTTGATAGTTTGGGATTCTTTTGTTGCATTATTGCAACGTATTCAGTTATATCTATGCTGGAACTTGGTGAGGAGGATGATATTATTTTTATGTAAATTTTCTCTGGGTCTATGAATTATTTTTGTAACTATCCCACCATTTTATGGATATTTGTTGGTGTAATTCTGGGACATAATCCCATTTGTCCATATCATTTTGAGAGAGCTGATATGTCTATTTTAGTATCCAAGGAACTTGATATAAGGCCATAAAATATAAGTGATAGTTTTTTTTTAAACTATTTTTATTGTAGTCAAAGAATTTTGTTTGTGATATTTGTAATTTTTGATAAAGTATTTGGCTGCATGATTCCCATAATAGAAACCAACTTTTGAACCAGTTAGGGAATTCTGCTAAATCAGTTATTTTAAACTGTACATACCAGCTATGTGTAGCCCTGGTATTTTGATAGGCAAAGACTTCATCCCATACCTTGATATATTGGAAATAATAGTAGGATTTAATTTTAAATCCTTTAGTATTTAACATTCTTGGTTTTAAAAGATGTAACCCCCAGTCTCTATAAGAGATGACTTTATGAATCTGGAATTTTGAGTATGCAATTTCAGAGTTATTATTGCTATAATGGTGTACTATAAATACAGACATTGTTTCCATAAGTCTGGTTTCTTACCATTCTCTACATTTTTCTGCCATATTAAAATGAAGATGATTGCGTAAATACATTGCCGCTATTTCAGTAGGGTCTTTTTCCTTGTGATCATTTTCAATAACTATGAGAGGTATATATGTTGTTCAAGAAATAGAGTTCCATTAGCACTTGGGTTATTAGTGCTTAGAGGGGATTGTTGCTTTCATATTGAAGCACTTGGAGTTGATGGTGAAGCCAGGCCTTTTCCTGAGCTGAGATTATGTGAACCCAGACTTTTTCCTGGACTACTATATGAAGTCAGGCTTTTTCCCTGACAGAGAACTATATTCATTAGATGATTTTTGCTTTTCTTTCCCTCCCTGTAAAAATTCTTGGGTCAAAAAATCAGGAAGATGGTTATGTTTACCATTAATATATTCAATTGTAAATTCAAATGATGAAAGGATTCCTTGCCATCGTGCAAATATTTGTTTTGAGATGAGATTTTTTACATATTTTTCAAGAATATCTTTGGCTGCCTTACAATCAGTACGGATAAGAAATTTTTTATTAAGAAAATCACTTTGGAATTTAGTTACACAATGAACAATAGCCAAACTTTCCTTTTTAACCGTAGAGTAGTTTTTTTGTGCCAGGTTCCAAGTTTTTTAAGTAAAGCGAACCAGTTGTTCATGCTCTTGAAATTTTTGTTTGAGTATGCTGCCTAGCTCTTGTTCTGAAGCATCAGTTTCAACAATTTTAAACGCAGTGGGATTAGATAAAGCTAAGCAGGATAACTCTTTGGCTTTTAATTTTAATTTTTTGACAGTCATGGTATGTTCATTAGTCCAACTCAGGAGGGTTTATCTTCAGCCTTTGGAACAAAGGTTTAGCTTCCAAAGTAAGGTCTTTATAGAAGTCAGAAATATAATTTAAACAACCAAGAATTTCTCTGAAGTTCAGTTTTGTCTTTTATAATATCTAAGAATTTTAATGCAAATTCAATTGCCCTATCAATAGGAATTATTCTTCCCTGGTAAATGTTATGCCCAAGAAACCTTATTTTTGTTTTAAAAATATTTATCTTTTTTGTTGAAACAACTAACCCAATATTTTTAACAGCTTTCAAAAATGTATTTAGATGTTTCCAATGTTGATCAATAGTATTTGAATAAACAAGAACAACATCAATATAAACAATCATAAATTTGGTATGAGGATTAAATATGTCATTCATGATATTTTGGAATTCAGAAAGAGCATTTTTTAAACCGAAAGGCATGACATTCCATTCATAATGTCCAAAAGGAACATTGAAGGCAGTTTTATATCTATCCTTTTCTATTATTTGGATCTGCCAATATCCAGATTTTAAGTCAAAATTTGAAAAATGCAGGCAATAACCAATCTATCCAAAGGGTCTCTTTTGTTTGGAATGAGATAACGAATCCATCTCAAGGCTTTATTCAAAGGTTTATAATTTATAACCAGTCGATGGGATCCCCTTTCTATTTCAGAAGCATTCTCAACATAAAAGGCTAAACAGCTCTACGGTGAGGAACTATTTCTAATAAGATTTTTATCAAGCAAATCTTGTATTTCAGTTTTACAAATTTCAAGGAGTCTACTATTCATTTGAATAGGCCTAGCTTTTGTAGGAATTTTTTGTACATCAAATCATGATTCATAAGGAAGCTCAACAATATGCTGCTTCCTATTCCAACAAAAAGAACTAGAAGATTTTTGCGAACAATTTGGGTTTAATACTTTACACACTTCTAAACCCAATCACAAGCAAAAATACAAAGACTTGCGTAAAGTAAGATCTAAACATTTACGAGAAAAAAAAAATGCTTTTC